AATAAAATTGGTTCCATCTAAGCTACGGAAGTTGCTTTTGCAAGGCTTACCTCACGTCCTGTTAGGCTAGGGGGAGTCTCTGACAGAAAACTACGCTGAAAGGAATTTCGAGGAGAAAACCTTCTTAAAATAGGAAGATTTTTATTAAGACTTGCGAAAACCCCAGAGATATTGAGAAATGGTGCAACCTGGTCGAATCATATTGCAATTCAAAAGTTCTTTCGTTAATATATTAATAATAATAAATAATGTGTAGATTTAAGGTGTTTCCACTTATTTTACTCTCGTCAGTTCTCTCTACTCCTGAGGGGCTCGTGGCTGTGGTAACCGATTAGATTAACACATTGCAAATTTAAGCAATCCTTGCCAGTTCAGTCTATGGATGGGTGACCATTCTTAACACTTTGAGACCCCTCCATGCCTCGGAGCGCACGTAAAGGCGTTAACCCAGGTTGGCGCACGAACATCTGTGGCAATCGTTACGGGTACTTGGAGCTCTAAAATCTACAGGACTTCGACATCGCCTATTACTTGGATTGTGAAGGTCTGATGGCAGTCGCTCCACGTAAAAAAACAAGGTTTAGCAGTGGATTAGTAGACTTAAAACCGACCCCAACATAGTGGGGAAAAGGCCCTCAGGATACGGATGATTATGGTCCTCTCTACTTCTGGTTTCCTCACTAGCAAAAAAAGTTATAGTTTTAAAAAACTAAAAAACACGCTTTCTATAGCATTGGATGCCTGTTGTCAATGGTAAAAAGCACCCAACGCTTTTTTTTCAAATTTATTTTCAATTTTTTAGTTTGGTTTTCTATAGAAAGCGTGTTTTTTAGTTTTTTAAAACTATTTTTTTTTAATTTGTGTATTGTCATCGGTCCTCGATATATCTACAAAGTTTGAACGAATTCTGACCGTTTAAAGTCAGTCAAAATCACGCCCAAAGGAGTCGGTTACAAACATACAAGTGAAGCTAATATAAAGCGTGTAAAAAAACCTATTAAGCATAAAGTACTTGGGTTGTAAGTAGACTTAGTAGTAAAATTTGGTACTAGAAATTACCAGCTCTATCCGTGTGGTGACAGATTAGGAATAAGCAATGTCATCACCCCTATTCATCCCGTGGGTGTCGTAAGAACCGACTAAGGGAACAAACTGCACAGGACTCCAGCACTGCAAAACGAAGGAAAACTTGAAACAAACCCTATACCAACCCGTCTGGCCAGCGTGGTATAGTAGGCCAAAGCCTCCTTTCAGAGGAGAGCCCTGTGTCCAGCAGTGGACTATCATAGGCTGTTGATGTGATGTGATGTGATGTGATTTACACGGTTTTTTGTGCACATGAGTGGTAATTAGATTTAAATAAAAATAAATTAATATCACTTAATTTTTTTCCAAAGTTGACAGTAGGTACTGAAGGTACTAAGAACCATTGCTCAACAAATCAATAGATCATCATGTTCTTTTTTATATCAAGACAAGTGTTAGTTAACAAAATTGAATAAACAAACACACATTCTATATCGGTCGATCAAACATTGTTTAATCAACCGAGTCCAATCTGAAAGTTAACAAACATGTAACAAGTTCAACAAGTTTTTTTTATCATGCGAATTAGTAATTGGTCGAGACATCTATAAATAAATCTCAATGTGTATTTTTAGATGTATTCGTCATTGATGATGATGATAATCTATAAATATAACTTTATTTTACATATATTCTTTCTTAGATGATAACAAGGGTGCCCCAGCTCATCTGATTTCTTCGGACAGTAACTGCAGAGTTTGGAACGGTTGAGGATCATAACCAGTTATGACCTTCGAACGTTGCCAAACTCAGCGGTTACTGGAATACTTGTAAGCCCCTGCTGCAGTAACTTACAAATGCTTACAAAGAGGCGAGCTTCACAACCATAACGACGCATTAAAGCTTGCAATTAAGCGGGCTTAGAGCTTCAATTCGTTGCAGTGAGGCAACCATGCAAGTCACATCATGTGATGGGGCTAACATATTGCTTGGTAATAAAAGACTCTAAATCTATACAAATAAATAAAATTGAAGTGTTTGTTTGTAATGTCAAAATGATAGGTTTTTTTCATGCTCACACGGTTATTTGCACGATACCTATGCCTAAACCCAGTTCATTTATTTTTTGTCTGTCTGTCTGCCTGTTCCGGGTAATCTTCTTAACGGCTGGACCGATTTTGATAATATTGTACTACCAGGTAGCTACAGAAGGAATAACTTAGGCTATTTTTCCTCTCAGAAAAACCGTTTAAAATTTTGCCCGGTCCGGGCATCGAACCCACTCAGGCAGCGCTTTTCAAATTCCACGCGAACGGAGTCGCGGGTACCAGCTAGTAAATACATATTAAAAAACATCATGTGCTTTGCAATTGTATATAGGCATGGGTACTCGGTCACTTAGCAATTATTGTGGGTACAATTTCAGTTTTTTTATGTATTACAATAATTATGTTATTATTTAAAAAAAATATGTATATTAATACTTAAAAAAAGTGTCTACTATATATTATATGTGTTTATCACGAAGACAAGGAACCCCGAACACAGATGTGTAGCTGAGTTTAAACATCCAAAGCGCTAAATGTTAATAACAGCACTTGTGGAGAGGATCTTGACAATCGGAATATATTTTTTTGTTGCAAGTTATTGGTGACTGAATCCGGGTTCACATTCAACATCCGGAAAAGTTCATCAACAGCAAAAAAATTGTGGAGCAATCAGCTCACAGAGAGAATGGAAGAAAACTTAGAAAGTTACAACCACGAGAAACCACGTTACGCCTTTAACAATATTAGTAAATTTTACAAGGTTTTGGAGCCTGTTTAAGATATTAGAGAACAATCAGAAATAATGGGCAGTAATTTATTAATAACTAGCTGAACCGGCAAACGTTGTTTTGCCATATACATTATTTTAAAAAAATTGTAAAAGAAAATTAGGGGTATGAAAAATACCCCCGACCGCCCCCCCCCCCCCCCCCCCGATATGCAAACAAAATTTCACGAAAATCGGTCGAACCGTTTCGGAGGAGTTCAACCACGCACACCGTGACACGAGTATTTTATATATTAGATTAGGAAAACCACAGAACCGTTGCCAAACAGATACAGCTGTTACTTTCTGTCATCAAATAAAAAAAATACCTGTCATATTTAAAATAACGTTAAAGTAAATTTCAATAGGCATAATCAGTAGTTACCTCTTTTTCTGTGCTGAAATCACTTCGGATATCCACCGGACAAACGGAGGAGTAATTTTGTCGGACTCTAAACGTCTAAAAAACCGCAAGCCGCCTCGGGTACCAGTAGTCGGGAATCCAGGTGTACCATAGAAAGGGGGATATCCTTTCTAGGGTACACCTAGCACCTCGACGGACGATGATGGTCCCTGTCGGTAATTACATATCCTTGGCATATCCTCCATCATAGCGGTTACCGAAATAATAAATTCTAACGCAAAAAGTTTTGTGGTTCAGCAGTGAACTGCACCAACTGTGTCATCATCATCATCAACAGCCTTTAATAGTCCGCTGCTGGACATAGTTCTCTCCGTAAAAGGAGGTTTTGGCCTACTATACCACGCAGGTCACACGACTTGGTTTAGGGTTTTTTTTCAAGTTTTAACTACAAGACGCAATTTGATTCCAAGTATTTTTTTGTGTGGAGACCTGCCATTATTGTTTTGCCACGATAAAAACGTAAAACTGTCAAGTTTTTTTTTTGTAAACACAACAACCCCATTAGTAATATATCCTGTGTTGTGGGGACTTTACAAACATACATGAAACGGACACAAAGAAGTGTCGTGCCATGTGGGGATCGAACCCACAACACTCAGCGCAGTAGCAAGCGGCGTGGCGATCGCTTAAACCGTTACGCTATCCGTGCAGTCAGACAGTAGGTCATGCTGCCCGTTAGGACAGTTAAGATAGGGTCGAGCAGTAGGTTCTTACCATAAAGCTATTCTTGTATATTTTAATTTATGTTCTAATTACATATCTTTCAGGACAACAGCACTGCAAAGAGAAGGAAATCTTGACACAAACCCTAAACCACCCTGTCTGGCCAGCGGTGTATAGTAGGCCAAAACCGTCTCTCTAAGGAGATGTCCAGCAGTGGACTGTGATAATGAAAAAATCTTTCACCTATTTCATTCTCATATAACTTAGCTCAATTGCAAGTATCGCCCTCTCTTAAGCTAATTGCAAACTATCTACTACCGTAGTAGAAACTCATACAACCACACTCCTCAGCAGTTCAAGAACAGCGCCATCTAGTTTCAATATTACGCAACTTCAGCTTGTGTTTTGAACACAAAACACAAGCTGAAGTTGTTGACAGTTAACATGTAATAAAATTAATTTTATTTTGAAATAGAACTCCAATTCTTTATTTATTTATTCTTATTACTAAGTGTATGTAGATCCAAGATATATACATCTAATGTTACATGAGAATTTCTAATACATAACTCAAGTGAAGAATATGACGCCTGACGTATAGTTATTTTGATCATAGTTTAGTTATAAATGCAGTAGCAATATCATCGTTTGTCCAGTTACAAAATTCCTAAAACTCCAATAATTTGATACAACGTACTTTCACATAAATATATTTAAAGCATTACAATTTAATATGAAATTTTTAAAACAAAAATTATTTTCTCTGTCTAAAGTACACACACATAAGAATAATTAGGCACCAATATTAATTGTGTTTGTATGTGAACACTTCATAGTCTCGTACGGTGAAGTTGTATTCCGTGGCGAGGCAGGCAGGAGCTAACTGGTCTCCGTACGAGTGCAAATTGCTGTAGCTTTCGCTATTGGTGTTGCAGTTGTTCGAGATCAACAGGTCTGCGCCCGCGCCGAATATTGGACCGCAACTGTTGATTAAGTAAAACAATAGTATGAGTAAAAAAATAAATTGAACTCACACACTCGCATACAAACTCTCACGCCTATATTTAGAAATTTAATGAGAACATGCAGGCGCGCTCTGTAGTGTGTGTGAGTGAGTGAGTGTGTCTACAGAGAGGCGCTCACTCGGGGTGGTAGCAGAGCGCGAAGGCCTTCTTGTTGAGCGCGTAGCGCGCGGCGGGCTCGGCGAGCGCGAACAGGAAGGCGCGCTCTGTAGTGTGTGTGAGTGAGTGAGTGTGTCTACAGAGAGGCGCTCACTCGGGGTGGTAGCAGAGCGCGAAGGCCTTCTTGTTGAGCGCGTAGCGCGCGGCGGGCTCGGCGAGCGCGAACAGGCAGGCGCGCTCTGTAGTGTGTGTGAGTGAGTGAGTGTGTCTACAGAGAGGCGCTCACTCGGGGTGGTAGCAGAGCGCGAAGGCCTTCTTGTTGAGCGCGTAGCGCGCGGCGGGCTCGGCGAGCGCGAACAGGAAGGCGCGCTCTGTAGTGTGTGTGAGTGAGTGAGTGTGTCTACAGAGAGGCGCTCACTCGGGGTGGTAGCAGAGCGCGAAGGCCTTCTTGTTGAGCGCGTAGCGCGCGGCGGGCTCGGCGAGCGCGAACAGGAAGGCGCGCTCTGTAGTGTGTGTGAGTGAGTGAGTGTGTCTACAGAGAGGCGCTCACTCGGGGTGGTAGCAGAGCGCGAAGGCCTTCTTGTTGAGCGCGTAGCGCGCGGCGGGCTCGGCGAGCGCGAACAGGAAGGCGCGCTCTGTAGTGTGTGTGAGTGAGTGAGTGTGTCTACAGAGAGGCGCTCACTCGGGGTGGTAGCAGAGCGCGAAGGCCTTCTTGTTGAGCGCGTAGCGCGCGGCGGGCTCGGCGAGCGCGAACAGGAAGGCGCGCTCTGTAGTGTGTGTGAGTGAGTGAGTGTGTCTACAGAGAGGCGCTCACTCGGGGTGGTAGCAGAGCGCGAAGGCCTTCTTGTTGAGCGCGTAGCGCGCGGCGGGCTCGGCGAGCGCGAACAGGAAGGCGCGCTCTGTAGTGTGTGTGAGTGAGTGAGTGTGTCTACAGAGAGGCGCTCACTCGGGGTGGTAGCAGAGCGCGAAGGCCTTCTTGTTGAGCGCGTAGCGCGCGGCGGGCTCGGCGAGCGCGAACAGGAAGGCGCGCTCTGTAGTGTGTGTGAGTGAGTGAGTGTGTCTACAGAGAGGCGCTCACTCGGGGTGGTAGCAGAGCGCGAAGGCCTTCTTGTTGAGCGCGTAGCGCGCGGCGGGCTCGGCGAGCGCGAACAGGAAGGCGCGCTCTGTAGTGTGTGTGAGTGAGTGAGTGTGTCTACAGAGAGGCGCTCACTCGGGGTGGTAGCAGAGCGCGAAGGCCTTCTTGTTGAGCGCGTAGCGCGCGGCGGGCTCGGCGAGCGCGAACAGGAAGGCGCGCTCTGTAGTGTGTGTGAGTGAGTGAGTGTGTCTACAGAGAGGCGCTCACTCGGGGTGGTAGCAGAGCGCGAAGGCCTTCTTGTTGAGCGCGTAGCGCGCGGCGGGCTCGGCGAGCGCGAACAGGAAGGCGCGCTCTGTAGTGTGTGTGAGTGAGTGAGTGTGTCTACAGAGAGGCGCTCACTCGGGGTGGTAGCAGAGCGCGAAGGCCTTCTTGTTGAGCGCGTAGCGCGCGGCGGGCTCGGCGAGCGCGAACAGGAAGGCGCGCTCTGTAGTGTGTGTGAGTGAGTGAGTGTGTCTACAGAGAGGCGCTCACTCGGGGTGGTAGCAGAGCGCGAAGGCCTTCTTGTTGAGCGCGTAGCGCGCGGCGGGCTCGGCGAGCGCGAACAGGAAGGCGCGCTCTGTAGTGTGTGTGAGTGAGTGAGTGTGTCTACAGAGAGGCGCTCACTCGGGGTGGTAGCAGAGCGCGAAGGCCTTCTTGTTGAGCGCGTAGCGCGCGGCGGGCTCGGCGAGCGCGAACAGGAAGGCGCGCTCTGTAGTGTGTGTGAGTGAGTGAGTGTGTCTACAGAGAGGCGCTCACTCGGGGTGGTAGCAGAGCGCGAAGGCCTTCTTGTTGAGCGCGTAGCGCGCGGCGGGCTCGGCGAGCGCGAACAGGAAGGCGCGCTCTGTAGTGTGTGTGAGTGAGTGAGTGTGTCTACAGAGAGGCGCTCACTCGGGGTGGTAGCAGAGCGCGAAGGCCTTCTTGTTGAGCGCGTAGCGCGCGGCGGGCTCGGCGAGCGCGAACAGGAAGGCGCGCTCTGTAGTGTGTGTGAGTGAGTGAGTGTGTCTACAGAGAGGCGCTCACTCGGGGTGGTAGCAGAGCGCGAAGGCCTTCTTGTTGAGCGCGTAGCGCGCGGCGGGCTCGGCGAGCGCGAACAGGAAGGCGCGCTCTGTAGTGTGTGTGAGTGAGTGAGTGTGTCTACAGAGAGGCGCTCACTCGGGGTGGTAGCAGAGCGCGAAGGCCTTCTTGTTGAGCGCGTAGCGCGCGGCGGGCTCGGCGAGCGCGAACAGGAAGGCGCGCTCTGTAGTGTGTGTGAGTGAGTGAGTGTGTCTACAGAGAGGCGCTCACTCGGGGTGGTAGCAGAGCGCGAAGGCCTTCTTGTTGAGCGCGTAGCGCGCGGCGGGCTCGGCGAGCGCGAACAGGAAGGCGCGCTCTGTAGTGTGTGTGAGTGAGTGAGTGTGTCTACAGAGAGGCGCTCACTCGGGGTGGTAGCAGAGCGCGAAGGCCTTCTTGTTGAGCGCGTAGCGCGCGGCGGGCTCGGCGAGCGCGAACAGGAAGGCGCGCTCGGCCGGCACGTAGCCGCCCGCGCCGCCGCCGCTCCACGCCGCCTCGCAGTACCCGCCGATCACCTCGCCGCGCGACAGCTGACACCACAGAACAAATCCTTACATAAGCTTCGCTTCGTTTCGCTATCACTGAACTCGGAATTTACCCGTCAAGTTTTTTTACCAAAATTTTATTTCGTTATTTACGTAGGTAATATAAAAATTAGGAAACACATATTTAGGCTAATGTACTGTAAACTTCATTAGTTAGGGTCCTTACAAACGGCGTATTTTAACGCTCCGGTGACTCAAGTTTGACAAACGCGCGCTCACAGCGCTGTAGATCGCCAAAAAGCAAATTATAGCATTTGTATCGATTCAAACGCGCGTACAAAGCTATACAAACGCAGGTGTAAAGTGCGTTGAAGGCTCGTCTGTATCGCGTTTTGTAAGTCAACTTTTGAGGTCAAAGGAATTACGAATCCTTTAGCAGTTTGAAATTTTTGCACATTTTTTGTTTGATCAATGTTTTAAAAGTTAAAACCAGTCTTATTACTTTTGAGGAGTCTGATGATAACCGCCGTATCAGCGCGTTTGTATTTCTAAATTTTTGAACTTGTGCAAAGGTATACCGTCTGCGTGTAAATTTTGTTTAAAGCACGTTAGCGCATGACATCTGCGCGTCGTCACAGCGTTAAAAATACGTCACGTACAAAGGCCCTTCAAAATTGTGGTGATGATAGATAGAAGCCGTCTTAAGTACTCGTTTATTTATTTCATCTTCAGAATCCAGTCTAAAATAGAGTTTATAACATTGTATACCTGAACCAGCAGTAGCACAGGAGAGATGCCGTCACAGTGCGAGTGAAAGGCCTGCGCCGAGTAGCCATGAGTGGACGCGCGGAATATTAGCCGCCATGACTGCTTTGGCGTGCCACACCTTCATGGACAACAAGCATCATTTAACAATGACACAACTCTTTATCATATACATGAAAGTTATCTCAAAGGGCGAAAAATATTAATTAACAAATTATCCGTCCGAATGACCATGCTTGTAGACAAAATTATTTTATTTGATAAAACATTAACCTTATGTGGTCGTATCGGATTATCTTAACTTCGACCTCTACACATATTATTATCCACAACATGCACAACGCCACCTATCTGTCGACAAACGAACCACTAAGGTCAGCTAAGCCTACTTTATGCACCATGTTTTACAGACAATAAGACGGTGTCAGTTATACAGACAAATAATTATTGTATAAATCAACCAGGTAAAGATCGAGCCTTGAACTTAATTCTTATAAATCGTTTAGAACATTTTTGTTATCAAAAAATGAATATCTGTGCTGAAAGAGCTGAGACTGGTCTAGTTGACATCACGATGGATTTTTCTTCAGGAAAGAGAGCATCTAAGAACATCGTTGTTTTCACAATTTAACTAGACATTTTCTAATAATAATAACGAAAAATTTAATCTCGAAAATCTCGTGAAAGTTGAAAAAGAAATCAGATAAAATATTTGGATTTATCTCATGAGATTGTCGATATGTGAAATGTGGATTTAGTGATCATTGTTCCGATAGTCGTATCTGCTCACGGATTGATAGCCAAGAGCCTCGACCAACACCTTAAGAGGCTCACGTTGGACGGCTGGATCAAGGGTCTGATGCAGAAGGCAGTCCTCCTTGACACGGCTCGTATAGTAAGGAGGTTCCTATCTTTGGAGTCCTAACCACCAGTGTCTTAGTCCCTGTACCCGATGTCGGTGGTCTACTATTTTTTATATTTTTAAATATGTATTTTTTAATATTTTTTTATAAAGTGTATGTTTAAAAATGTAAATAATATGTATATAAGTAAATAAAGAGAATAATAATAATATAATAATAATTTTTATTTACCAGAAATACAGATATAGTTTGTACATAAAAGAACAACAGATTAATAGTAATCGTGGTACCTATTCCTATTTACAAAATTTTATAAAATCTACGTCGGTTGTTTGATTTGTGAAGACTTACCAGTTATTGATAACAGCTTGAAATGCGCTCTTGTCCTGCTGCAGAATTAGCGATCCAGTGAACATATTAACTGCTAATCTGTAAACAAACAATTTTGTTGTATATATTTCAACAAAGACTTTACTGACACTATATGTGCAATTTAGCTATGTTAAGCCATTATAATTTAGTTGGATTATTCAGTTCAAGTTAACTGCACGGATGGCGTAGTGGTTTAAGCGGTCACATCGCCGCTTCCTACTGCGCTGAGTGTTGTGGGTTGGATCCCCCACTTTGTGTGATCCACAAATTGTTGTTCTGAGTCTGGGTGTCCTTTGTGTCACAGGATTTATTCCTAGTGCGGGAGATGTCTTATTAAAAAAATTGAAAGTTTTTGCATTTTTATTCGTGAAGCGTAGTATGTGAAACTTCGGTATTGTTTATGTTAATGATTTATTGGTTTTGTTTGTGAATTCCAAAATTAATAGGGAATATGCACGTAACACCAAAATGGACAAAATAGTTTTATTTGCAATTTTTATTGCTAAAAAAAGATACCCATACAATTATTTTTGAAATTTATTATAATTTAATAGTGAAATTTAATCATCAAAAATAGGCTTTTTTAAGATTCCCTCGCAAATTTCTAAAACGCAACGCTATTGGTTGAATAAAATGTGACGTCAACCTACACTGTCAAGAGTGCCAACAAGTTGTGTGTATTTGTAATATTTGGTTTCTGGTGATTATTTGTTTCATTTTAAGTTAATAACTAATACGTTTTCAGTGTTAAATTATTAAATTCCCGCGTAGAAAGACTCAACACAATGACTGAATATACTTTGTCAGGTGCAGTTTTGATATTATTTGGGCACAAAGGAACGGCACAATATTTATAATAAGTTTTTATTGGCTTTTCCATGGTAATAAGTTAATTTTTATTACTCACTTTTTAACTTTCACAAACTTTGTGAACTTTACTCCGTTGTTGACATCGAATTCGTCTGAAAGTGTAATCTGACATCACAAAAAAAGCGCGCCAAAATGGACGTGTTCAAATTGCCCCAAAATTATAGTGATTTTAATAATTTTTTTTTTGCTTAACGGTTTATATTTCAGATGTGTTATATTTATTTTTGGTAATGTAATAACTAGTAGAATCGTTTAAAAAAATAAAAAAAATACATGCATATTCCCTATTACACACATTTGAATCATCAGCATCCTAATTAAGTTTTCTAGCACTCCACTGCTGTGCGCTTTTCAACACACTTTTTGCCTACAAGTAATTTGTAGAACAAATTATCGTCTGCGGTATTTCCGGACCGATACAACCTTCACACCTACAAGAAAAAGCAGACTCCTTCCTAAAAGGCCGCTAACGCGCTTGTGACTTCTGAGTTGCGAGCGTTCATGGGCAGCGATGATAACTTTCAATCAGAAGCTCGTTTGCCCCCTCTTTCATAAAAAAAATATATTTGGGGTCACAACATTGCCAAGAGTATAGGCTAGTTTATGGCCGAGCGTCTGCCTGGCGTCAATCCCCCTTTGAAATATGAACGTATTCATACGGAACAAATCAATATGGTAACTTGGAGTATGGAATAACACAATCTTAGCTCCCTTAGCCTACCCAAGGTTGAGGGAGCTAAGGAATGCCACTAGTCACGATGGGAATTAATTGAATTTAATTAATTTAAACACTGAATATTTTTATACAATAATAACCTCACACGTCACACACACGGCTGTCTGATTCCAAACTAGGCAGAGCCTGTACTATGGTAACCAGACCGCTAATAAACATACGTATATGTATATTTCTAAATACATACATATCATAGATAAATTACACCCAGACACAGAACAAACAATCGCGCTCATCACACAAATACTTGTCCTGGATGGGAATCGAACCCACGACCTCCGGTTTAGCAGTCAGGGTCACCAACCACTAGACCAGACCACCACTAGACCAACAAGTCCGTCAAAACGTTTATAAACGTATATTTCTTTTATATTTACGTTTATAACGTTTATTTCAAATTTTCTTAATACATACATATATAAACATGTATGTATTAAGAAAATTTGATGGTGTTTATTGTGGTAACAAGTTGCTGACAAAATCTACGATTAACTTAAACGTAGACTTGTGTGAGGCGATTATTCATTGAGCACTTTCTACCTTAGCTGTCTCCTGGAGGGTTTATCGTGACATACCTGGGCTGCGTCCTCTTGTCGGCGTGGTGCGGCGGCGGGGGCGGCGCGGCGTGCAGCGCGGCGCGCCGGTAGCGCTCCAGCGACAGCTCCATGGGCACGGCGCCCGTCGGCTCCACCTCCTCCGCGAACACTGCGCTATCTGCAACAACAATAGCCTCCTAGACTAGTACAGAAGATGAGTCAACTGATCAATTATATGTAGCTTGTAATATTTGATCTTGTTTAAGTAACATTTAAAAATAATGCAGTAGTAATTAAAAACTAAACCTTTTTACGTATACAAAATCTGGATCATATGTTTTAGTCTATGGTCGGAATTCACTACTTTTTTTTTAAATATAGAACGAACTAACAATTAAAACAAAAAATCCAAGCCTTACCCAAATACTTACAATACTTACCATTTTTAAGGTAGCTTAGGAGGTTGAAGGCACTCAAGTAGTAAGTTCGACAAAGTACATACTTAAGCACCTACGAGTACATTATTTTAATTGTTAGTTAAATTTTTTTGACGTGACAACGTCTTATAAATTGGTTTGCCGGGTGACACTTCAAGAAACTGCGTTACGCTCCGCTCACGTTATGCGCTCACAATGAGAGCGAGTGAGAGGCACGCGTCCCTTCCAATCGGGCATGGTTAGCCCGCCTAAGAGCGAGAGAGACAGACATAGTCGTTGTCACGTAAAACTTTCGCCCGTATACCGACTTTACAGGCAACCAATTTTTATGTTATGTCAGATAGACTTTATAAAAAGATACTTCTTTCAAGTTTGTTTTGAGTATCAGACAATCTTTTGTTACATTTCTTACTCACCAATAAGTAGTAACCGAACATGCTGCATGAGTGGCGACAGGTGATGGCAAACCCTAGCTCGCTCCTCTTCGGTCCAGTGAGCGGTCGGCTGAGTGACGCCTGCACGTTGCTTGGCCCACGCCAACGCACAGCGCCACACTTCTTCCTCTTCTAGACATAGCTGGAATTTAAAACATTTAGGTATTCTTTATTTACTGCCTCAGTTTGATTATTAAATTGTACAGATAAAGAAAACCCCTCCTGAGTCCATTACCTCAAGGTTATACCACCAAATAATTACCTCTGCTTTAGTTTTTTTAGTATATTAAGCCCCGTAATTCTGTTAACTTTGTGATATCTTAAAATACTGTAAATGTAAACTCCTTATGTACATCAACAATCAACCAACTAATAATATGCCCATTGCTTGAGGATTATTCCCTAATTGCTAAATTAAACTTTCAAAATATGTAGAACACTATTCTAAGCAAACTTAAACAGACATATCCTAAGCTGACTTTGGTAAGTATCGTTATAAACATTAGATATAAAAGAAACTAACAAAATCTGAAGAGATGAGCTTGATGAGCGCTTCCTTGGGCAAATTTAAGAAGGCGTTGGTCTTGACGCAGTCTGCAGCGTTGTCTCCGATGAACGCGATGCAGCGCTCCATGAACGAGGAAGCACTCTTGCCGCCTAACAACACAGAGAGCACATTGATTTGACCTTGTTTTGAATCGTATTTATTACTAATTATTGAGAGTAAAGTTAAAATTACCTGTTTCTTAAATTGTTGTTAATATTCTTGATAGGTATCTACTAAGTAATTATAAAATATTTACCTGATGATAAAGTACCAACCTTTTATAAATTAAACATGGTTAAAATTATTTAAAAAAAAAACTAGCTTAGAACATCTATAAATGTTTGTGAGTATTTATAATTATACGTTTATACGTCCTTGTTATAATTATGTTATTTTTTAGCTGGTTCTACCGTATTTTAGCAACCGTAGGTTACCAAGTAAAAGCATGTGGTGTGTATATTATGTTGGTGTGGTGTCGTCTTACTGCATGAATTCTGTTTAATATAGAGGTTTTCTGTAAACTTATGTAAACATATTATTATTAAATGTTTGCTACTCATTCACGCCACATGCCACATTATAGTCTAGAATAGCACATAGGCTTTATATCTATTGAGAAAAAATTGAGTGACAACATTGATGCGAGCGAAGCCACGGGTAAAACCTATTTAGAAGTAGTTATATTTTAGATCAACTGGAGGCAGTTTCTAGATCATTAATCAATTCTACACAATGCTTACACTGTTTAATTGAATGATTGATGGGGGTTGTTGAATCTTTGTATGCCTTACATTCATCAGCCACTATATTGGCCGAGGCATGTAAAGTAAAGAGATATTAAGACAACATGCATGACATAGTTAAACTACAACACATTTGGGGTAGGGACTGAAGTAAACAAGCTATTTCAACTATAGTGCAGTGCATATACTATGGTAACCAGACAGCTAATAAACATAGTTATATATCACTAAGTGCATACATCTTTTAATAATAATTACACTGAGAATAAATGACTGGGCTTAACACACAATCATTTGTCTTGGAGGACAATTAACCAAAGGTTGGAGAACAGCAAAGATCCAGATGTCTATTTAAAAAAGAAGATTTTGAATTCGGTTGTATTTATCTTGTTCTGAGGCAGAAGACAACATACAAGTGAGTTGAGAACCTTTTTTATTCATCCGCCATACATATATGAAACAATATGAAAAATTCTTTTTATTTGAGAAAGTAAGTACACTTAATGTTTGGTCCTACTAAATTTTAAAGAAAGTGTGGTTTTTTCCTAGTTTTAAATTTAAGATATGAAGAATAATTTATTAATTCATCATCATGTAGGCGCATGAAGTAAGTGAAACTCTTTTAAAAGTTATTATTATAATTGTTTATTTTTCTTCAGTGACCTGTTGACTTCTTAGTGCACCTGTTTTACGAACGCTGTCTACGAAGCAGAATAAATGCATTTTTTGGATAAAGAGTATGGACCAAGTCCCAGGGTGATTGAAATTACAAGTAGTTGATGTTGTAGTGGATCAATAACAGTCATCATGTCTATCACTGTCAACGATACAGTCAGTAAATATGTGTACCGTAGCATTCAATACAAACAGCTTTTGGGATATTAGTATCAAAGACAAACCCAGCATATAAAAGTGATGATCACACATTGCTTACAAAACAAGTCACGCTAACCAGACCCTAATTTATAACTTCATTAAGGGTTATGACTGCACGGATGGCGAAGTGTTTTAAGCAGTCGCCACGCCGCTTACTACTACACTGTGTGTTGTGGGTTCGGTCCCCACATGGAACGACACTTTGTGTGATCCACAAATTGTTGTTCTGAGTCTGGGTGTTATTTGTGTCTGTTTCATGTGTTTGTAAAGTCCCCTGCCACACAGGATATATTCCTAATGCTGGAGTTGTCTTTAAAAAAAAAGGAAAGAAAAAAAAGTTATTTATAAAGAAACCTTGCTAACAGTACATAGTATGAGCACAGGTTCAGACATAAATTATCATCATCAACAGCCTATAACAGTTCACTGCTTGCCAAAGGCCTATTAGAAAGGAGGATTTGGCTATACCATGATGACCAGATGGGTTGATATAGGCTTTGTTTCAAGTTTTCTTTCTCTTTGCAGTGCTGTTATCCTACGTAGTTTGCTCCCTTAGTCGGCTCTTATGACACCCACAGGATGAATAGGGGTGGTGACACTCCATATTCTTAATCCCTCACCGCACAAACAAACATACAATTCTTGTGATATGGTTGGGATCTTATGACAATAGCTATGAGCATATGGCTTAATTGCTACAACTGAGATTACTCATGTGTTCATCTTAAAGTTCTATGACTATCTTTCTTCTAGCTTCTACCCTCTAGAAGATAGCTTTAACAAGGTGATAAGACCTTAATTTACCTTCTAAATTTTTATACAGAATGCCTATTATTTGATTATCCTAGACAATTGCGTTACCATGGAAGTAAATCTACTATACAGGCAGCAAAGAAATGCAATGATATATAAGGTCTAAGATACCAGTTTTAACGCTACAACACAATTTATAGGCACGCCTAACACTCTTTACATCTTCCAGCACTATTAATATTCTTACAGCATAGGAAACAAATAAAACTCGTTTGTATGGACAAATATACTTAAATTTAATGATGAAACACTGTTGTACAGAACTCACAAGCCAAAGCTTAGTATAAAACACTGGTTCCCTTGTTTACTGGGAATGAACTTAAACACTAAACACCATAACCTAAATTAAATTGACGCGTTAGGATTAACGTTCTGTATTAACGTTATATTGTCCCCCTTCATCATAACTCTTCCAATTTGTTTTCTATTCTTGGTCTTCATATGAACTTCCTCAGCTTCATCCAAAACAATGTTCATGTATTCATCAAATCCCACGATGTGGCCCTCAATTCTTAAATTCACGTTCTCATACAACCAAATTTGCACTCGACTCCTGTTTTGTAGGTATCTGAAGATAAGGTTGATGGGTTGGACCATCACCTTTTGCACTTTTGGTGGACCTTTGTAAGCCATTTTCGTTGATTATTCTTTAACTTAAACGTAGAGTACCTTCGGAAAACAAACGCTAACACAAGAAGCCGGGGTTGGCGCTTGGCGCTCTCGTTCTGTCAAACATTTTTATTTCAGTTGTCTATGGTCACAGATTAAAAATGACGCCAATTGATAATGTGAGACCACTGCAGTTCAAGTTTAGTTTATTAGTCTATTACACGATTTACACGTAATCAATTTTACTGTTTTTTTTTTTAATTATTTGTTATTTTTGAAAATTATTTTGTTTCTTTAAAATAAATGTATAAATTCGTCATATAATATAAACAACATAATTTATCAAGACCTTTCGTTTAGTCTGGTTTTGACTATTGCCATTAATCATGTTTTTATTTTCCGGCATTGTTTGGTTTCAAACTATATTAAAACTAACCATTGTGTTCTAAAATATTGAATAGGATAAATAAGTAGGTAACGTTTTTGTCCGTGGTTGACAAAAAGTAGTGAAATGTGTAAAAACTTTCAAAATTTAATTAGTAAAAAAATCATTGCTAAATCATACGTCTTGTAATATGTCATGTAAATATATATACTTATATGAATTGCTTAACCCGTGATTGGTAGTAATAATAAAAAATAAATTAGGTTAACTAATTTAATTCAAGGGAGTATATTTTTAAAGAAATTAATCTAATTATCATTTGTATAATAATAGTTCTATTATGTATTTAATCATTTTATCCTTCGTGATAAAGTCATCTTCCTTGTTTTGAAAAAACAAATTAGATTATTTTTTTTGGAATAGGGGGTGGAAAACGACTACCACCGCCCATGAACGCCTGCATCTCAAGAGTCACAAGATATAGAGATATATGTATTTAGAGACTTAATTAATTGTTACTGTTATTTTATTACTTTTCGGCATTTCAATGGCATTCTGTTGTGACTTCACAATCATTAAACAATAATAGCAATGGGTTAAAAAGCTCAATTAAAATTAAGAGACTATACATTAAAGCGATAGTGCTTTTGTGTGGATGTTTTACCAATTTTTCACCTCAATGGATTTAATTAACACGGATACATAATACTGGAAATAATAATGGTTAGGTAGTGGAAATTAGATAAACAAACACTAAGCCGAAATCGTGAAAACATTATCATCATGAAAACATATTCAAGAATGTAAAAAAATGCAATAAAATAATTAGCAAAAAGTGTGCGATGGCCGGGAATCGAACCCGGATCAACTGCTTGGAAGGCAACTATGCTGACCATTACACCACCATCGCAACTACGCATTGCTGTAAAATTACGGTTTTGGTAATGTACTATTACATACCAGGTCGGTCCTGAATTTCCATAGCGGCAGCCAATAATGTACAGGCACTCTCCACACTCAATGTTGATGTAACATGATCTTCACACGCAGCTCGCAGGTCTTCTACTCCTAAGTCAGCAGCTAACGTCATCATTTCAAACACTCCAGAATCTTGTAATAATAGCTAAAAAGTATGAGAATCTATTATGATGATGTTCATTTAAAATACATATGCATGTTAAAAATTAAAAAATGTTTATATTTTGTGAAAAACGCCATCTAGTGATATTTTTATTATGTGCAAGAACAATGTGCCTTTAAAAATAAATTAACTGGTTTAAAAAAATATATGATTGTCGGAATATAAGCCCCAGTCTTAATATTTTACCTTGCCAGTATAAACATATTGAATGAAAAGTCGAAATGTTTCTACTTGGACGTGTTGCATTCGAATCGGTGTAGGCTGTCCACCAATAGATGGCGTTACAGTACACCCCGGAATTCTACATATTTCGCCGCGTTTTGTGTTTTGAAAACTTTTGCATCTGTAACAAAGAAGAAGTGAATAAATATATATACTGTAATTGATTAACATTTAGACTTCTCTTTTAGCGTCATTGATTAACTTAATGTAGGATTTTAAGAGAACAACCTCTGTATATTGAAATTTCATTCTGAAGTAATAGTTACCTATTCAATTCACTTCGTTGTAATCATTGAGTTAAAACAACACTAGAGAAGCAAACCTCATTATCACACGTCGAAAAAAGTGTAACCACTTTTGAACTTTGACGACGTAGCTTTGATAGCACTAAACATTTGAAAGTAAACATATTTATGTCTCATTTACACGCGAGACAAGAACAATACCATCGCTCGGATAAGACAAAGACATAACTTTACGATGGTGGGCCAGTGTTGACTACCGTATGAAATTTTACCCATAACAACCAAGTAACAATTTTTTTTTAAAACAATTTTGTAATAAAATAAATTAATTTAAATATTTTAAAAAATATATTTTGAATTGAATGGAATAGGTATAAATAATAAAATAACTGGAAATATTTGGTTAAAAGGGTTTATATACAATTGTCTTTTAGACTCTTTTTTTATAAGTTTGTGTGGATATTTTAATTTCATGATACAATCTTATTTTTGCCTATGTATAAATAATGGCATTTAATAATAAAAGTGAATGATCAACTTGTACTGATAATAAATAATCCCCAGGGTGTATTGCAAATTCTTTTAATATTTTAAAATACAAATAAAAAAAAATATAAAAAATATATATACTTTTTTCTTTTTTATTTATTTATATTTATTTACTTTTTTATTTTGTATTTTTTTTTATAATTTTTTTTGTACAATTATTATTTAAAATTGATAATTAATTAAGAAAAACAATGAATTAATTCTTTTGTACAAAAGTCTCCAGCACTGCGAGCTTGGCAGAAGGTGAACGTTCAACGGGTCCCTAAAAAAAGTGATCGGTCCAGCCCTAACAACTACCGTAATTACTCATCTATGTAAGTATTATATCAATGGTTGTAATGCAATCTAATCACATAAGCAAAACAAGGCATATCAAAATCCTATTTATATTAGTACCTATAACATGAATGAATAATTAAATACTTGACCATACATTTAAAACAATTGGTATTTCTGTCAAATACACCTTTCATCTCGTATTAAAGTGCGTTTCAAATACGAATATGGCTATATATTTATAAGATGGAATTAGCAAAAATGTATAGCTAATATACACTGTGGCGGTATAGATATCACAAAAAATGAAATACCAGATAACACGGTTCAATATACGTCGGTTAAAATAAAAAAATAAAAAATTAGTACGAAAATACAGAAATGCAAATTTAGAACAAACTAAATACAATAAAATAATTTCCGAATTAGAACACCATTGATAACATGCGTCGGTGAACTGTACCTACACGGCAGCGTCGCAATGTCGGCGACATCAAAACGGCGCCGCCGCCGCCGCCGCGAACTTTACATTCTTATTACCTACCTACCAATCACTTCACTTGCTTTTAAAAATCTATTTATAAAGAATGCGATTTTATTCACGTGTTTATTTCGTGAATGCTCGACTAGCTTCCGACCCAGCAGTACGCGTCACTCCTTGAAAAAGTAGTTACCTTGGTTGTCTCGTAATCTTTGTACCGCCCTTACAAAAATTCGGCAGTCTGTAGGACATACACGATTGACTCCATACGTGTCCGTAAAGCAAAAGATGCGTTTTGATAGAGTTTTCCATAAATTAACATCATAGCAGGATATTCCGCGGCTGTGAAGGTCACTCACGGCATTATGGATGTTGATATCGATAACCCAATAAAATTAAAAGACTGATAATGCACTCAGTTTCACACTACACTACACACAGAACCTAATAGTGACTTTTCAAAATAAAATTAGCAGGACTCCTTACATTACGAAGTCTTGCGCACACGATAACATTAATTGTTCACACCATTGCCGTGTATTATGACGAAAGCAATAAGACTAAACAATTATTACCACAAGAAAACTTCTCTAAACAAATATGTATCTCATAAACAACAACAATATTATTATTACGGTTATTTGTCGTGAGCGCATCTACAAGGATACGGAATAGCATAAGCTCGCCGGTGGCCAAGGGCCGACTGACCAGGCCCCTGAAACTTCCATATATTTTTCGTCACAAAAAAATTACAGAGAAAGTTCTGCCATCTCCATAAACATGAACTCAAACATAACTATTCATAGCTGCCGATAGGTGGAGCTTTTTGATTGGTTAAAATAAAATGAGAACTTTAAATTATTCAAGTGCTTTCTTTAATATGCTTATTTTATAATTGTTATGAATTCTTAATTTATTTTTTTACCATGAAAAATATTTTTGTAAACATGCAAATAATTTCAATTTTTACCCATTTTTTTGAGTGAAAGGAAACGTAAATGACTAATGAATGACAGACAAATGTATGTTACTTTCAAAACTTTTCTGTTGCTAGTTTCGTGGTTTTTTGAATATCTTTTTTGTGCTGTTTTAAACTTTGACCCTGCTTCTCCCTTGGACCCTGTGATAAGATACGTAAACTATTGACCCTACGCTGTGAATATTGGATACTTGCTTGCTTTTGCGATTTGGATTCGACGACATTTTGAAATGCCTAGAAAATCAGCTTTAAAGTGTTATTTTGGATGTTTGCCTTATAAAGGTAGGGTTTAGCCAGTTTTTATAAATCAAAGTCCGCTTATTTATTCGTTACTATGCTTTAAGGAACTTTGTACAATTAATAAAGTAAAAAGAAAAATAAGTTGATCATATGAGAGTTTTTAAAGCTATTGACTGATTTTGAAAAAGCATTTTCTTTATGACTAGAATAATAGCTGGAACTTTAAATCTACTGTCTTTCAGGAAAACTCCATAACTTTCCACCTGAGGAATACCCATATTCGGAAAAATTTGATCAGTGGAAAATGGTTTTGAGTGAAATAGACAAAATAAAAGATAACAAATACATACGTAACAATATACGTATATGCGATAACCATTTTCAAGACTATTACAAAACCGTACGTGGTCGTCTCACTAAAAATGCTGTTCCAACATTGAATATTGGTAAGTAGCAAATAAATGAAATACATAATAACAATCAGTACCTGAGTTAAATTTTTAAAAGTGTAATAAAAATCTTAATTAACATTTCTCTATAATTTAATGTATAATACAGCATATCATTAAAATGAATGTTTTAGAAGATATTAGAGATTTTAAATGCTAAAGCCCAACAACCATCGAGCCGTACGTCTGTCCCAGGTGGCAGTGGTCGGCAGGTTCGGAGAGGGCCTGTAAATATTTCATTTAAAGATGTCCTGTAATATAGTCCTATTATAATAAAAGTATAATTAGTTATTACTCCACACTGGTACCACATTAATAGTATCTACATTTCACCCATGCGAAGCCGAGGCGGATTGCTAGTATTATTATAAAATGACTTACTTTGACTAACTGACACATTCATCAACACAGAGCCTAAACCGCTGGGGCTAAAATTCAAAACTTTTTCAGCTGATGCTTTTAATGTTCTAAGCATCCACTAAGAAAAGTTTTTGGCAATTTCACCCCTAAGAAGGTAAAATAAGGGATGTACTATTGTATGGAAATTTGCCACTTTCTAATTTCTAAGTTGCAGGCAGTAGATATTCATTGATGTATGTGTTGTATTTGATTTCAGCATCTACATCAACCAGTTCAACTGCTTTGCAATCAGAAATTCAGTTGACTTCATTTTCTGTAGAGGAAAATAATACTGTAGAGGGAAATAATGAAAATTTAGAAATCACTTATAGAGAAGGTAAATATTAAATTTTTGTTTCTTCATAAACCGTTAATATGTTACTAGCCTACATAAAAGTAATGTAGATCTTACCATTTTAATGTCATTGAATCATCAATTTTGGATACTAACTAATTATATATATATGATTTTAAGGCACTAAACCCATTAACGCTGCCAGGAATAAATTTGTGAAACTAAATGCACAATTAAAGGTCAAACTTTTAAAGTTGAGGGAAAAATGCAAGAATCTTAACCAAAAAGTTCGACAAGCTGCAAAAATATCTGAAAGTAAAGCCTTTTTAAAAGCTGTTGAAAAATTGCCCGAACCTGCTGCCATTTTTACCAATATGCAACTAAAAAAGGCATATATCACACCAAGAGGCCGAAGATTTAAAAACCAAGAAAAAATTTTGTGCCTGACAATATATAAGCAAAGTCAAAAGGGCTATAAATTATTACAAAGATTGTTTGCATTGCCTTCAATACGGACAATCCAGAAAATCCTGAGCAAAGTAACCATTAAGCCTGGAATAAATGATGTTGTTATGGAACATCTGAAAAAAGCTGTAAATAAATTACCTTTAGAAAAAAAATTATGCACACTCATATTTGATGAAGTGGCATTAAGGCCCGGGTTATACTACAACACAACTGATGATGAAATTATTGGTTTTGAGGATTTTGGCCCTCAGAAAACCGAAAAGATTGCTGACCATGCACTCGTGTTTATGATTAAGAGTCTGAAAGGCAAATACAAGCAACCCATTGCTTTTACATTTTGCCAGAGTGC